GCCCCAGGATATTGTGGGGTTTGTGAATCTCCCATGAGCCTTAGGTGAGATCTTCCAGTTTTAGCCTGGGACATCCCAGGTTCCGTTTCTGCAAAACTTCCAGTTACCTCAGCCCCGAGATAGCCCAAAATGCCGCATCCTTGAAGGACTTCACTCACCTGGAGGGACTCAAATTCCCACAGCCTGAGACTCTAAGTCTGTCAGCTTCCAGGACTTCACCCAGAAGAAACCAAATCCACCTGCCCTAGACCCCAAACACTGGAACCTATGAGCCCAATCCTCCTCTGTTCTAGAATCCTAAATAGCAGAGAGAGGCCAGATGTCCCAACTGCAAGACCTGGATTCTGTCTGCTAAAGAGTGACCTCTCAGTCCCAGGTTCCCCTTTGAAATCTCTTCACACCCTAGGACTCCAAAATTCCTCAGCTTTCAAATCCCCAATGTATACATCCTTCAGAAACCACATACACTTAACCTCAGAATCCCAAAACTTTACTTGAGCACCCTAAATTTATTCCTTCTGGCAGAATCAGACTTGAGAGAATCAAAGTCTTGTCCTGACAATATAGAGGCGCTCTCAATTTAGGATAATCCACCACCAGCTTCCTCAGTGTGACAGTACCCAAACACCTCATCCAAGAAAGCCCTTTCCCCAGCATAAGTGACCCCTATAATCACCTATACAAAAATTCTCAATACATTCCCCCATCCAAGACCTAGGTGCAACCCCAATTACCTCAGCATAAGGTATGCAAATATTTCACAACCAAGAAAGCTCTTTTTCTCCAGTCTGAGGCTCTCCAAATACCTACCACCCCAAAATCCAGCTTCCTCATTCTGAAGGACCCAAAATAATCCCCCTGGAGAAACACAAAATCCCTTAAACCAAATGAATGCAAATATTCCCCATCCAAGTAAACCAATATCCTCATCTTGAGGGTCTCTAAAACTCCCCCTCCAAATAAAAACCAGTTTCCCTTGGCTGGGGTGCACTAAGCCACTTAAAAGGGTATCCATCTACTCACCCTCAGCATGGCTACCTACAAAGCACACATGCTGCCCAGGGACTCCTGGATCCTCAGGGAGAGACCCCAGCTCCTGAGACATGCTGTGGATCAAAGGGGATTCTTGTGTCTGCTCTCCCAACCCGGGCTTATGGCTCCTCCACTCCGTGTGCACCTGGCCACCTGCTCTGAGATCCAATCATGGGATAGAAGCCACAGCCTGGCTGGACTCAGGGTTTCCATCCTCTTCCCCTCTGACTTCTCCCTGCTCAGCTTCTGTAGAATCAGAGAGAAAGGCTTCTGATGCTCACCTCCCCCTTCTATTGATCTCCATCTTAGAACACAGAAGAACAGAGGTTGAAGGGAAGATGTACAGCCTACGAGAAAGAAAGACTCAAGCATATGAAGAAGAGAGGAAGCCCCAAAATGATGACCCCCTCTGCAAGTGACCTTTTGGCCCTTCATGCAGAAGGATGTTCTGTCCTGGTACAATTCATCTGCTCATCTAACTGCCAGATCCTGCCTTTGTTCTCGTGACTTTGAGTGCAGAATTGAGGGGAAGAGATTCAACTGCCGGGCTCTTCTATGGCTCTCTACATCCAGGAACATGCACATTCCTTTCCTAATCTCTGCTGCTCCCTCAGATTGAAAGAAGTGCCAGAGCTCCTTCATTGACAGATGTGTTGCTCAGTGGTCCACGAGGTTTTAAATATTGTGATAGACAAGGGGCATCCCAACTACTCAGACTTTACTCTGCCCTGTTGGCTGAGAATTGCTAAATCCAGCATCCCTTAGGCTGGGTTTCGAGTGCTGAATGATGCGTCTCAGCTAACATTGTGTCTGTGATTTGGCCCCTACAAGTACCATGATGCAGTGGGTGAAGAAACAACCAGGAGCAAATACTCCTGGGCAGTGTGATCCCTCTCTTTCCTATCTTCCCAGTTCCTTGGTACTACTCAGCTGTGGACTTGCGCAACACAGTCTTTATATGTACATGGAACTCCTACTTCAGGATCAGGGGTTGAGTGGGAGCAGAGGTGTACAGAGATGAAGTGCATGTAACCTGACAGGGCCTCTGCCATGACTTAAGGAATCTATGCTCATGTGTAGATGATGACTACAGAGCATGCACTCAGAGTACACTGGGCAGACTGAAAGGGTGTCAATGAAAGGCAGAATAATTTAACTGTGTTCGTTATCCACCTCCCAAGCCTATATCTTCTTTTTCAAAAACCCAGACCAACAAGGGAGGAAACAGCAATGAATATATACAATTTTAGGACAAGTTCCAGGCTAACTGGATGGGGTGAGGCCACCAGGTGTTTGTGTTCCAGAGAAGATACTCACCCTTTTCCTTGTGATCCTGATTCCCTCTGGGATTCTAATCATCTTTCTCTTTTTGTTTTTCTCCCTGCACTATGCTTGTCCACAGCATGAACAATCAGGATACATAAATACCTATGATTGCCACATTTTGTTTTTTCAAAATACAAATGTCTGGGATAGACAAAAAATTCAGATGCAGGGATAAATTTTGAGGATCCCAGAGACTTTGGAAAACTTGGGTTCATACAGTATTCAATACATACAAAGCCCCTACTATGTTCCAGTTTAGGAAATGGACTTCATTACTCAGTCAGATCACAGCCCATTCCTTCATGAGGTTGTATTGGAGACACACATGAAACATTTCCTAGGACTGCAACTTTTCTATTTTTTTCAGTAGTTACACAATACCAGCACAACTTACCTCAAGGGCCTTTGACCTGTGAGAACATGAAGTATTCATAGTCTCAAAGATATTGGCACTGGGTGCTGAGATTCAGAAGTGGGGGGAAGGGCCATGGGCAGGAGGGCCTTGGTTTTCTGCTCAGTGCTGCAATCAATTTACATGAGGGCCTAATTCTTTAAATTGGATAGAGGATATGAACTAATTATTATTGTTTTGTGATGTCATGCTCAGGTAAAGAGAATTCTAAATTTCTAGAGAAACCTGGGTGAGGTGGGGCCATGGTAGTGTGGCAGCTGGTGGGGAAGTCTCTCCACTGAGAGCTTGTGCTGAGTATAGAACGATGTGAGCTAACCTAGCAGAGTACACAGCACAACTCAACTGTGTGGTAGATACCCGGATTCGATTTGAAGTTTATAAAGCTAGTGGTCACTGTGTTCTGTGATCAGTCCGGTGGAACACTGGTTAGGAATTGGACAGGGAATTCTAGGTTCTTGGGTGTGGGTGGAGACCTTCTTGTGGTGCTCTCCATCTAGGCCGATGGCGTTGCTCATGATGCCTTTTGGCCCAAACTTGGGATAGTTTCATCCTCCATGCCCTGCCAAGGCAGGTGCTTGGGGGGTTCTTCTGAGATGGGTTCCCACTCTGACCTCGTCTAGGTCAGGAGGACGAGACAGGAACTGTCACTCTGTCTCTGTTCAGTTGTCTGCAATCAGATCTCCGGTCAGCAAGAGCTGACTCCCCACCCCAGTGGGGACCCAGTGGTCACAGGGCACTGCCGTGTCGCCCTTCTACCTCTTCACCTCCGAGCCGCCGGGCATTGCTCCTGTTGCTTATCTTTCCAGTGACTGTGTTTCTGGGTTTCCCTTAGCGGCTCACTCCTTCCAGCTGTACTCTTGTGACTCTTGGGGCACCCCAGTCTGATCACAGAGCCTTGCACCTCTTGCTGGTGGATGAATATCCTAGAGAGACTCCTAAGTCCACAATGTTTTCAGCTCTTGACTGATTATTTTATATAGAGTATAAGAGGGCTGGGTTGTGACTCAGTGCTAAAGCACTGGCCTAACACATGCTCCCCTGGGTTCGGTCCTCAGCACCTTTCCTGCCTGAGGCATGTCGGGCATCTTCCCTGGTGATCTGCCCGCACCCACAGGTCACGGAGCCCTGGAGGAAGCAATGGAGGTGCCAGCGGCCCAGGGGCAGGGCAGGAGTGTCAGTGTGGATCCCAGGGTGGCGGGCTCCACAGACAAAGGCCCCATATAACCTTTAAATTATCAAAATTAAATTACTTTAGAAAGTTCTGATTATGAAGCTCAAATAATGTCAACAATACTGAGGAAGTTGAAATGTGATTTTTAAAACTGAGTTTTATTTTTATAACGTCATGTTTTAATATTGCTTGTTGTGCTTACAGACATAGGGCAGTGGTGGTGACCCTCTGCCTTAGTTATCACTGAAAGCACCAGAAGGTTCACCATCACTGACATAGGGAAATTCAGCTTATTGTAAGCCTCAGAAACCACACTGAGTATGATTACAAAATTATAAGTTGCTCTCACATTATCTCAATAAATACAGATATTAATGTATAACGAAAAATGAAGAATGGTAAAATCTAGTAGAAAAAAGGAAAAAGTAATTTCCATCTATTTTCTTAAAGAGTTTCCTGAATTTATCTCTATGGTTTCTATTTACATATGGCCACTTATTTCTTTTTAATTTAAAAGGACAAAAAATACAACAGCATAGATTATTTGTAGCAAATTATAAAATTAATGTATCTATACAAATCGGAGTTTGGAGAAGAGGAGTATTATATAGCAAGGTTCCCTGGAACAAGTGATCTTTGATCTTTTGGACAGTGGAGACAGGGTGAGGGTCATTAAAAGTGAATAGGATGAGATTCATATAAATGTACCAATAAAAGAACTAAAAGAATAAAAAAAAGTGAATAGGATGAAAGGAAGCAATGAATGATTTTTAAATTAGAAACTTCAATCAAGTTGTTAGTTCTAGGGAGAAAATCAGTTCTTGCTGCTGTGACTCAATGTGTTAATGCTGAAAAAGGGGATGGAAAGCATTTACTTGTGCACTAATATTATTGTCGAAATCCACATGTCCCTTAACAAGTAATGTTTATTAGGGTTGCCCTCATCAGAAGTCATCGCTGTGGAAGTAAGAACAATGCCATTCCCACAAATGCCAACTGATGTGAATCCCAACACCTTCCTCCCCTCCTGCTGTTCTATATCCACCGTGACAGACATATCTAGGGCTTGGGTTGATTATGGACACCCTTAAAACTGAGGAGAGAACATTTCTGAGCACCACGCTGCAGAAATAGGCAATTTTCAGAGTGGCAGCACCTTCCCATGCACTTCCTCAGGGCCCCTACCACTTCTTTGTTCCTCAGGCTGTAGATGAGCGGGTTGAGCATGGGGGTCACTATGGTGCCAAGCACAGCTCCTACCTGCTCTTGCTCCGGTGTGTGGGAAGACGTGGGTGCCATATAGATGAAGATGGCTTGGCCAAAGTAGAGGCTCACTACCGTCAGGTGGGAGGAGCAGGTAGCCAGGGCTTTGCTCCTCCCCTTGTGAGAGTTCATCCTGAGGACAGTGAGGAATATGAGCGTATAGGAGGCCAGGATGAGAATAAACGGGACCAGGAGAAACACAATGGTGGACACAAATTTCACCATCTCATAGACTGATGTGTCCACACAAGACATTCTCAGGATGGCAGGCATCTCACAGAAGTAGTGATTGATCTCCCTGGAGCCACAGATGGGAAAATGCATCGGGTAGATGGTGTGGACAAGGGCAGCCAGAGCGGCTCCAGTCCACACTGCGGCAGCCATCTGCACACAGAACTTGGGGCTCATGAGGACCGCATACCTCAGGGGGTTACAGACAGCCACGTAACGGTCATAGGCCATGAGGGTCAGTAGGATGCACTCCGCCAGGCCAAGAGTGAGGAAGAAAAACATTTGAGCAGCACAGGCAAAGTAGGAAATGCTCTTCTTCCCTTTGAAGTAGTTGGCCGCCGTTTTGGGCACCGTGCTGGAGATGTAAGCCAGGTCAATGACAGAGAGCTGGCTGAGCAGGAAGTACATGGGGGTGTGCAGGCGGGAGTCCAGCCAGATGAGGACAATCAGGACAGAATTCCCAGCAAAGGCAGTGGTGTAGATGAGGAGAATGATGAGAATCAGGAGTGTAGAGTGCCTGAACCCCGGAAAGAGCCCCAGAAGAATGAAGTCAGTGGAGGTTTCATTGGTCTGGTCCATGTTTTCACTCAGATTTTCTTATTGGAATTGAAAATCTACAAGGGCAGAATAATATTGCAGAGAAGGCAGTAACTTTCTAAAATAATTTTTGTTTCTTGTTCAGTACCTCTTCTCCATTCACTATAGCCAGGACTCTACATAAAAGAGAAAATTTTAAAGTTCCATCAAATGAAATCACTTTTCCTAGAAATTAAGTCATATCCCACCGTTATTCAGGTATGGATGGATGAATATTTGATCCCTTTGACTGCAATCTCCAATCCATTCTTTTCCTCCTATTTGTGAATTTTTTAATATACTGAGGCTTGTGGTATCCTCAAATCCTGCAGATTCCTTTACTGCATGTTCTAGTCTACCCATCTGCACCCCAGCAGGCTCCTGAGCTTCACTTGGGGCCCTTCTCAGGCACATTCAAAAATGTTTAATTATTAGCCAAGTGAGGTAAGCTGTTTATTTTGTATTCCTAAGATCCATAATTTTTGTTGCAGTAAATTTCTTCATTTTATTCTTAGTATGAATAATTATAAACTTATCTTTTCCCTTGAATTATCTCCTTAAGTAACGCCCTAAGAGCCAGTGGTTATGTCTCTTGGTGTGTACATTTTCAGTCACTGTTCATTGCTCACAGAATAAAGCAAAAATTTCTTAAAATATTTTAAGGCATTGGATAGTCTTATAAATTATTTTGAAGATCCCATGTTTGTCTAAGTACTGTCTCAAGTCCAATATTTAACACCTTCTTCTTTCCTCTTAGGAGAAATGGAGATTTATATCCTCATCTACCTGACAACAAATGTCTTATAAATATTCAATTCTGAAATCAGTAAGTTGATTTCCTTTGTGTATTATGACAATTCGTATTCAATGTCTTTTCAAGCAACAACCCTGGGAATTGTCTCTTATTATTGATACGAAACCTCAGATGCTTGACTAGATCCAATCTTACATTCTCATGCCTTTTTTTGAGATAGTGAAAGTAACACAGTGTGCAGTGTCTGACAGTCCACAGAGAGAGACCAGAGTCCTCAGTGTCATAGTTTCAGGCTACAGTCACGGTGAGCTGTGGGCAGCACTTGGTACCTGGAAAGTTTGTTTCCTTAAGGTCCTGAGACTCTGGAGGCCTCTGGGGTCCTGGGCTGCTTTCCTGATGTTCTCTCTGTCATAGAAGTTATCTGTCTTCTTGCCTTTGCATTGTAAATTCTTCCCCTCAATGTAAAGGTTCTTTTTCTGTTGGGAGTGAAATGATGGGAGAAAGACCCTTGAAAAAAATTGTCCATGGTGCTCAATTATCACATGTGAAATTTGCCACACTGTCTACAAATTAACCTACATGGGCTATCGACCACAGTAGAGTTGATGAATTAGACACTGAGAAGGGGACGGGGACATCAGCACTGCAAAATAACATCCTGTACAAATGGAAAGCGTTGAGCACCTTGTCGGGTGTGTTGACCTGATGGTTGGTATGGAGATTTCTGTGCTTCCATGCAAGACCCCTGGTCAAGGGTTGAATAATCATTTCAGTTAGGAACAATACCTGAATAAAATGCGATATTTTATGTTGAAAATATTTAAAAATTTATAGGAATATGCAGTAAAAGTGAATCCTGTGTTCTAACAATATCTTTCTTGTGGTTGGAAATTAATATATAGCTTAATGATTCTATCTTTTCAAGTCCTACTTGATCTATAAGGCTGCTTTGCCCTCTTCAAAATGATACTAAATCAATGGTTATTGATAAAACCATTGCATGCTTACTTAGTACATTGTAATTATAGTTCAGTAGCAAAGTGTACAGTTAATCAGATACTTGATCTTGACTAAACGATGTGCAAACAGTGTATTAACAAAATCACTGCAAAACATTTTCTGCTAAAACGTTCGAGTGGTCAATACTGAAGAACTTGGTTCACTCTAGAAATAAGGAAAATGGAAATGAGCTGTGTAGGGGCCTCAAGTATAAGCACTCATATCCTTTTATTTCTCTCCACCTGCCACTGTGCCAACACACTCAGCTCTCCATTGCATACGCTCTGAATCCCAGTGCTTTACAATCAAAGAAGCTTCACAGAGATATTTTTGTGTGAAAATCAAAAGGCAGACCCTGTTTTCAGGGCATGGACACTTTGCTGTCACCCACAAATCTCTCCCTTCTCCTCTCATTGCTCTTGAACTCTCCTGGAAAACAGAGTCCAACGGAGTTCAATGCCTTGCTTGTCTGTGGAATGGTAGCCATGCTCCTCCCAGCCCAGTGCACGGAATCCCTGAAGACAGACTGCTGTGCTGCAGGCGTGATATCTGCCCCAGTGGCAGCCCAGCCAAGGAAAGAATAACAGAGATGATAACCACGGGGCCAGTAGTTCGCATGATGGGGATCCCCTCATGGACAGAGTCCTTTCATGCATGATCCCACTGACTCTCAGGTGAACCTGTATGAAATCCCAAGAGATAGGACCAGGGGAAGCAGCAGTGTATCTTCGTGTGTCCCCTGTCAGACATTGGTTCGTGAAATATGGGACCCTGAAAGTTTCCTCCAAAGTCTCTCTCCACCAGGACTCTCTTCCACCTCTCCAGTCATTCACATACTGACCCACACAAAGGGAAGTTTAGTCTTTCCTTCCTACCTGTTCCATTCATGAAGAAATGCATCTCAAACACCACGACTCAGTGTTGGAAGCACCCTTCCTTTTCATTCGGTCTAAACTTACCTGCTCCTGCTTTCCATAGGTTTCTGTTCAAAATCTGTGGTTTGAGGATAGGATAGAGAGTCAGAGATAACTTCCTGCATAGAAAACAGTTGTTTTATTAATAAGTAGGTTAGCATTCTCCTCCTCCAGCCTTCAGCCTCCCAGTTACTTTTGCCCCGAGAGCGTCAGGAGCCAAGGCCTTCATCTGATGTGCCCTGACTCTCTAGCATTAAGTTACCCACTTCTCATCTTGAGGAGCTGATTTCTGACACCTCACAGCCTGTGTAAAGGGAGCATCGATAGCTCTTTTCCATACCTGGTTCAGGTCTGGAACAGTCTGTGATGGTTCAGCACCATCTTCTGGAGTGGATCAAATCCTTCTGTAGCTACTGTGCACCTCGGAACTGGGGAGCCCTTGAGGACTCTCATGGGAGATTGTCCCCAGACTTCAATTAATCCTAGACCCAGGATAAGTGCAGGGCTCTTAGAAACCTCTTATAAAAATAATCACTGTCCAGTATTCTGTTTGCAAGAGAACACAGTTGACTTTCTATTGTCTCTACGGAAATGGAAACATTAAAGATATTCCACATTTCAAATACAATGGCTAACCACTTGGATAATTGTTAAAGAATGGAGAGGGAAAATAATTTTTTAAAAAGTTTATGGAAACAAACATAGATCTTGAAGCAGAATTCTGGGTGAGAAAGCTAGTGCATCACATACCCTATTGACTACGCTTATTCCAAATTCCTTCCAAGTCAATAGAGTTTGAATATTAGTTTATCGTCTCACAGCCTATTTTACACTAGAGGACGGGACCGGAGAAATGAATTGGGTAGCATAGGCTATAATTGTTTTAGTTAGAGAATTAAGAAGAAATGTTATCCAAAGAAAAAAAATCCAACAGATGAATGAGGAATTTATACACAACGGCGTGCTACACAAAGAAGGATGAGCTTGAGTCATTTGCAGAAAAATTGGTACATCTTGAGACTGTAATATCAAGTGTCCCAAATCAGATACAGAAGGTTAAATATCTCCTGGTTTCTCCTGTATGAGAAACCCAAAATACAAGTCATTTAAAGACCGTAAGGAAGCGGAGATGGCAGGAAGCAGGGAGGTACGTTTTTTGGAAAAGGGAAAGGGGATCTGGGAATGCGGGAAGGGTAGGGGATAAAAAACTATCAGGAGACTGTGTGTGCACCCGTTCTCCAGAATGAATGCAATCACTATGTATCACAACCACATACTAATCAAAAATTTCACAAATCCAATCATGCGTGTCCTAGAAATAAAATTTATGCTATTATTTTAACTGTGAGTATTTCAGAGGTGCTTGAGGTCCTGAGTGGAGAACGTTCCCGCAGTAACCATGGTGCTCCAAGGGCTGGACACCCACCATGCAGGACTTCCCTGAGGAGGGCTCAGCGCAGGGTCACGTCTCTGCAGCCCGCTCACACATTTTTACCAACTGATGGGTACTTAGCTTCATTTTGTGTGTGTTTTACTTAGAGGCACAACTTTTAATATATACTGATGATTAATATTGATTAGCATTGAACTTACTGACCTCCCAGAACCCTGAGTTAGTTATGCCTGAATCGAGCTTCACTGACACAGATATTTTCCCCACGTGACGCAGCACAATTTCCCTGTCTTCAGTAACAATGTGTAGAACTTCGGGACCGTGCCCGGAGGTCAGTTTAAACAGCCGACCCATCAATTTATACAGTGCACAGAAGCGTGGAAAGCTTTGCGCAGAAATACACCCCATCAAACACTTACTTAAGGCATGAAAGCTGAAACAGGAAAGCAGAGCGTATCTCCTTACCACAGCTAGGAATATGCACACCCAGTGACTCAAAATTTTCACAAGAAGGGGAAAAGGGCTAGGAAGGGGGCGGGGGGAGGAAGCAAGATATGTCGTCGTGTACAGGTTCAAATTCCCTATGATGAAAGTGACCACTACGTACATCTAAATTGTACCAATAAAATTTTTAAAAACTTTAGTGCTCTGCGCATACTCATGAATCAAGTCATGATTTGGGGGCAACAAATTTTAGTGAGTGGACAAATTCACAAGTAAGGCATTTTCAAATAATGAAATAAACTGTAAATGCAATTGATCATGCACCCAAGCTGCTTCTTTCATTAAGAAATTCTTCTTAAATACAAAATTCATTTACAAATGATGCTGTATTAAAGAAATAATTTCCCTCATACATCAAAATTTTATTTATATTCTGACTTTTTACTCTAGGTTTATGTATCTAACACTATCTGAGCGTTTTAAAACACAAAATCACCTT